ATTTATATGTCAAATTTACATATATTCTATATCTTTTTTTATAGCAGCCTCATCGTGTATTTGATATGGATAAGACAATCTTCATTATCAGAAAACAGGTAATGATTTGCATTTTTCATTGTGTATTCACATTATTTTCCTTCTAAGCAGTCATTAAAGTGCTATGGATTTCTCTCTGGATCCATTTATCATGGGCAAATCTTAAAAAATATTCATTTTGTATATTTCTCTAAGTCTTTTCTTTATAAACCGGTGAATTATATAGTCCATCATATTTTATTGTCTGGAATAGCTGCTGAACAAAAAAATATATAATCTGCTCTCCTGCACCTGGAGGTGAAATTGACCACTTCAGCACAATTGCATCTGAGGTAAAACCCAGAATGTTTTTTTTTTCTTTATAGACATACTCATTATTTTATTTTGTGCAAAGCAAATCCATTTAATATAGTAATTAAAACACTACATTAGGAGTCAGTTCAGTTCTATCTTTGGCTATGTTGAATATTGGCTCTAGTCCTGTTTTGCAAATAACCCGTAACTATCCCTCATCAGTTATAAACTGTGTTTTCTTTCATCGTTAACATGAAACTGACACTGGTTATTTATTTTATCAACTACATGAGTGTTTACAGGATGGATGTGAATGTGACTCTACTCTCTGTTCTTTTTAGGAAATATATTTGGTATTGACATTCTACAAACATTAGATAGCATTTACTTTCTCCAGAAACACAAGAGAAAAAAATTAGCAATTCTCTAGGTACTAACAAGAACCATGCCTTTCTGTATCTACATAATATGTACATTTTTCTAAGAATTCTCATGCTGTGATTTCTTCTACACATATGTCAATTATAATAGGCATGCCAGACATTGACGTTTTTAAAAAGACATAATGGTAATAATAATATGAGAAAGCTGTAGTGTTAAATGTGGTACCTTGAACCAAATTGCCTGAGTCTGAATTGACCTTGCCACTTAGGAGCTATTTAACCACCGATGACAAATTACTTAATTGATTTCTCCATGACTTAGTTTCTTCATTTGCAAAATAGGCAAAACAATAAAAGCCATATCACTGGATTGTCGTGAGGGTTAAAGGGGTTAATATAAAGTGCTTAGAGGCACAAGTGGAATGTGTTAGTGATATACATCAGGAGCTATCACCATTAGCTAACCTTTATCTTGTGCTTAAGATGTTTCTAAGAGCTTCATGTGGATGACCTCATTTAATTCTCAGAGTAAAACTAAAAATTGATTCTGTTTTTGTTCTTATTTTACTGATGCTGACCAAATCCTTTGCCTGAGGTCTCATGGATAGTGAGTGTAGAACCAGGGTTTTCATCCAGAGCACTGGGGTCTAGAGACCAGTCCCTTAACTGCCCCAACACTCCCTGCCACCTAGTATAGGTGGTCAGAGTTGACTAAAATCAGAATCATCCCATTGATTCTGTGTGAAGTCATACACTGACTCCACAATTCTGTAAAATATTTGGTGGAATTTTATTTTTAGCTGCTGTATTGAATATTAAGCTACTAATACTAAGAAATTATAACTTTCTGGAGGCCTATTATGAGAACTTAGTCAAAAAGTGTAGATCCTAGAGATGTAAGTACATTTATTAACTTGCTCAACATGCAAACTGTGACTTACATGTTTTTAATAGCTTTTAGAGTCAAAGACCTAAATGTTTTAGAGTCAAGGAGCCTTGAAGAATCTGAGGAAAGATATAGAATAACCCCCAGAAAGGCATACATACAGGTACAATTTAGAATATAAACTTTAGGTTTTTCTGAGGCCCAACCATACACCCCAGGTAAGAAGCACTGACTAATATACTATGAAACATTCTACATCGCACCCTTGCTGTATCTTGTCTGAAAACTCAGTGTGTCCAGACAGAGATAAAAATTTATCTACTTGCAAATTTATGTTAGCCCACATCTTTCAGAAATTAAGCCTGAATAAATGCTTTAAGCAATTACTAGCTGATTAAAAAAAAAAAAAAAATCTTCCTTTAACCTTAGCCTCGTCATACAACCTTCAGAATTTTGAAGTTAAAATATGCTCACTTGGGAATAGTATTCCTGTTTTTTTTAATTATTTTTTTAAAGAATAGTTGGAGGAAAAACTTATTTTCTATGATTTTTGAAAAATAGGCAAGGCTTACTACTCCCATTCTGGTTTATTTAGTGCACGAATCCCTGAAGAAGTGAGCTACCTCATGCTTCTCAGGGCTGGTGCCTTCTGACGCAGATCCTTCCTTCATTTTAATGACAAGTAAGCCTCTGTAAATTCCAAAGGGTCTTACAATCTCCAGCACTTCAGAAATATGCCCTGGCACATCTCTTCAGTATAATAGGCAAGGTTTTTCACATACACTAGACAAAACATATCACCCTAGAAATTTTAAGAAATAAAATGAGTTTCTCTTAGGAAAAAGAAAATGCATAAGTGATTATGTCATAGTTTCTGGAAAACATGTTTGTCCAATAGGAGGCCCTATTCCAAAATATGGGATATTTTGTGTAAAAATAAAGAGTCAGGGATTTTGACAATATATATTTTTTTGTAAAGGCTGATGTAGGTCTAAGTTGCCCATGATTTTTCACTAGCTAATTCTAATTCTTACCCATTAATAAAGCAACAACTATTTAGTTTTTCTGAGCTTCAATATTAAAAGATAATATATATGTGTATTTATATGTTACATATTTATTTATTTTATATGTATTTTATTTTATATATATTAGGTTATTTAATATTTATTTAAATTTAATTATTTTAAATTAAAACTTTAATTATTAAAAATTAAAATAAAAAATTAATAATTAAATTAAAAATTTAAGCTGAATTATTTTAAATGATACAAGTATTTGTATCCTTGAAGATTAGTTATGGAGATTTAAATTTCTTTTGCTTTCACTTTTTCCTATTCATTATGGAAATTTCAAACTTACAGCAATGGTAAAAGAATCATTTATTTTTTAATTAAAAATGATTGTTGAGTTCTCATTAAATACAAGGCGAAATAATTGCTTTGAATCTGCTTGAGAAGATAAAACATATTCAGAGGAAATGACAACTATCAGTAGAATCAGAGATTGTATTTAGGCTAACTCAAACAGTTATTTCCATAGAAATCCAGAGGTGGGAGACAGCCATAACTCAGTTAATATGATTCACGTGAGTTACAGCTTTGGGACAGACTCACATGAACTGTTTCAGACTGTTATAGAGATTCTATTTCACGGCACTGGCACGTAGAGGTAAAGCCATTAGCGTGCATGCACACTCATATGCCAACACACACACACACACACACACACACACACAGGAGAGTGCACTCTGTCCTTCCAGAAAAAAGGAATGGGAAAATAGCAAAGTTTTTCTTCCACTGTGTGGATGTAAAGTACTCTAAATAAATATTGTTAACACTACGCAGAAACTCACGTTCATCTTTAAAATGCCATTAATTTGGAAAACAGACTTGGGATTCTGTATTACAATTGCTTAAAGATTAAGTTTATAAGGAAAAGAAGAAGATCTCCCAGTACTTGGCATTGTGTAGTCTCCCACTGAAATATTTATTGGTGTTGTCATATAGAGAATGCTGAAAGAGAGGTTGTTTACTTAAAGGGAATATGTTAAATGGGGAACTCTGCAATCATATTTTCTGTGAAGGAGCCAGGTGAATTTGGAGACCCTAACACAGGATTCTTTAGTTTTAGCACTGGTTCAATTTAAAGACTATAGTTTTTTAAAATCTTTGTTGATAGAAAAATAAAAGAGACTAATAAATATGAGTGAATTTAGTCTTACTCCATCTAGTGAAACTATTACTAAAAATAACTTAAATGCTGACTTTTTGGTTGTTTGCACCAGATAGATCACTCGCAGAGTGATCTTTCTTCCATGATGCTTATTATATTATTTCTGAGGGGGTAGGGGCATACAAAACCAGTGGGACCAATTATAGTGGCATCTGAATAGAAATTTTTCATGTCCTTTCAGTTGACCACTGGGAAAAACTTACAGTAATGTTTAATGATGATATTTTGTAAAATTATTTTTACATGTCTTTAAGGAAAACATTTTAGCTAAAACTATCTAGTAATAGTAGGACAATTGAATATTCAAATGTTTCACTATTGACAATTTACCAAAATTGAATGTGTGTTGTGTTGTCATGCAGGCCCTGGAGTGTGAGACTGGGTTTAAATGCCCACCCTAGCATTTATAAGCTATATGACTTTGGGCAAGTCAATCTCTCAAAGAATCAATTTTGTAGTTCGTAGATTAGAAATGATAACAGCATCCATCTCAAACGTTTGCGGTAAGGAATAAATGAGAGAGTATATGAAAATTGCCAATACAGTAGCTGTCATATAGGAAATAATAAATACTAGGTATTATTGTTAGGCATGTCTTCCCTGGGATTTTTTCCCATCTAAGGATAATCAGTGAGCTCCAGGTCTTTACCAGCCCCTGTAAGTTAGTTAACCATAATAATAAGTAATGAAATTACTAAGCTGGAATGTATTCAATGCCATTCCTTATAAGGAGATTAGTATAGCAATGGTAGCTAAAGGTACTGTTACCACACAAAATTGGGGTTCTCTTCCCCGATGTATATAAATGGCCAATTAATTACAGCATCAGCCTTTGGGAAAAGAGATCAGCTTTATTCTGCGAGATCCACCTGCAGGGAGACAGGAGGCATGTGCCCTCAGATCTGTCGCCTCAATTCAGGATTTCGGGAAAAATTTAAGAAGTTAAGGAGAACATGCTGGCACATGGAAATGCTGGCAGGACAGGTTTTGATTGGTGGGCTTCAAGCATTTATGGCAAGGTTTTAAACATTTATGATGAGGTTCTAAACATTTATGATAAGGTGGGGAGGGAATTTTAATATCAGATCTTCCTCAATGAGGGACCCCTCACTTCTGATAAGAGTCCAAGTTTCCAGTTCCTGTCGTGTCCCAGTCCTTGGGTTCCAGATATTTCGTTCCACGGTCATTTCAGGTCAAGATTTCTTCTTCTGTGCATGCTCTCGCTACGTGACTTTGCACATTTTCTGAAGGGCAATTCTTAATCACTCTGTTGATAAGCAATCGGGTCAGTTGAACTGGTCCTGGAGGGCCCCTGGTTACAGTGCAGACTCTGGAACAAGACTCTGTATTTAAGCCCCAACTGCCACTCGTTAGCTGTGTGACTTTGGATAAGTCAACTCTGATGCCTCAGTTTCCTCACCTAGGTAATAGAGATAACAATGCAATCTACCATTTATACTTATTATAAAGATTAGAAACATTACTGTGTGAACAACCCTTAGAATAGTGCCGGACGTTTAGTAAACCCAGCTTAAGTGTTTGGTAAATAAATGCAAGCAACTGCAATATGTTGTGAGTCTTTTCCTGTATTAAATATTCTTACATCTAGGTTTCAAATATATTCAATACACATACATTACATGTGCATGAATCAGACTAGGAGCTTAATGTGTAGCCAGCCTGAATCACACCCTTTTGTACACCCAAGTAGAATCCTGAAGCTCAAAGGTAGAATCACTAGGGCTGACCCAATTCTATAGACTGCTTGGTTTGGCAGACTCTACTCAGGATGCCTTAGGACCATATTCATCATCATAAACAACCCCATTATGTTTCTTTGGCTCAAAGAGTATCACTATTTATTTAAATAAGAAATGAAAGAAGTAGGGAAGAAAAAGCTCATTTTCTTTCTCTCAATACACCTTCACCCAAAGCTGATTAAATCCACCTCTCACATAGTCAGCAATATAATCTGAGTACTCATCAGACCTATTAGCAGGGACTACAGCCTCAGAATAGTTTTTCCTCTAAAGGACTGCATTTGCCTCAGGGTACTGAGTCCTTGCTGCTGACAAATCTCACTGTGCCTGCTTTTTGTAGTTTATAATTCCCTTATTTAAACTAAGTGCCCATCAAGGGACTAATGGATAAACAAGATGTGGTATATATACACAATGGAATACTACTCAGCCATAAGAAACGATGATATCCAACCATTTGTGACAACATGGATGGACATTGAGGATATAATGCAAAGTGAAATAAGTCAGAGGGAGAAGGTCAAATACTGTATGATTTCCTTCATTAAGTAATAGATAATAACAATAAACAAACACATAGGGACAGAGATTGGATTGGTGGTTACCAGAGGGGAAGGGGGGAGGGATGAGGGTGAAAGGGATAATTCGGTACATGTGTGTGGTGATGGGTTGTAATTGGTATTTTGGTGGTGAACATGATGTAATCTATGCAGAAATAGAAGTATAATGATGTACACCTGAAATTTTTACAATGTTATAAACCAATGTTACTGCAATAAACAAAAAATTAAAATAAGTAAATAAATAAATAAAAAATAATAAAATAATTAGTTTTTTTTAATAACATGTTTTGTCTGTAGGTAGTGTAATTTCAGGCCTTATATTATCCATGTAATGCTTCACTAAATTCCTTTCCAAATCACATAAAATATTATCATTTTTTTAAAAAATAATATAGAAGGATAAAATGGTAGGGAGGGAAAAGATTAAGATTTTAAAATTTTTGAAAAATTCATCCCTATTTCCTAGTCTATAATCGTTTTCCAATAAATAGTAGTGATACACTCTCATAAGATGAGTTAGCTAAGTTAAAGCGCTTTAAGAAAACTTGTGTGTGTGTGTGTTTCATGACACATGATTGTCTGCCATATCTCTATGCAAGACATTAGTCATCTAGGATCCTTTATATCATTCTATTTTCTCTTTCTCCAAATCACTAGAGAATTCTTTAGATCTCTGACGATGCTCGGAGATCATCAATTTCATGAAAGATAAATTGCTGATTGAGACTTAAGAGCTACTTTTGGCCCAAAACAATATCTAAAGCTGTCATTGCCTGTCACTACTCTGATTTTAAAAAATCATAAGAAGGCCACTATAGAGGATTCCATTCAGTGTTCTTGTTCACACACTTGTTCAGAGTATTTTTAGAGGGAAAAATTGATAAAACTACTCTTGGGAACATTTGATAGCCATGCAAAATTATAATTTCTCAAGATAGTTGAATATTCTCAGAAAAGCCATCTAGTAAAATTGAAAAGTCCGATCAGAAGTTAACTATATTTGCAACTGAGAAAAAACATACACTCTCATACACATATATAATTGATAATTATGACACAATCCATTGATTAATTCGTTGTGAATATTTATTGAACACAAAATATATGACAAGTGTTGTGATAACTTTTGAAAAAGAAATAAGCACCATCTCTTCTCAATAAATCAAGTTTGATGTTAATTCTTACCAGTAAGTTTCTATTTAAGTAAAGTGGGGAAAAACCTACTTCTGATTTTAACCAACTATTTGAAAGTTAAAGAACTTTTCACCTAATGTCCTTAGCTATGACCATGTGCACTTAAATCATGTTGAACCATTTGCTTAATAGCACGTTCAGACTTTAAAAATGTATTATTAACATAAGATATATCTCCCTGCTTCCCTCCCAGCTGGTTTTCTGCTCCCTTCCACTATAGTATAAGCTCCAGGAAGTCAGGAATGTTTGCTGTGTATGCTGTCATTACCTTGATTAAAAAAATCGTAAGAAGGCCACAATAGAGGTTTGCTGCGATATGTTCTAATGTTGGAACACTGCATGGTGTGCATAGGCACCCAAACAAATGTGAGCGATAAAATGAAACCCTTTCTCCTTTTTAGTATCTATGCAGTTGACATCTTTTTGGATTTGTCTTTTCTTCTCTTTATTGGTGATAGAGCACAGTGACTGGGAGTGCCTGTCTAGTCAGACCTGCTGAACTGGAATCCCAGCTCTGCCACTTACTGGCTTGATATTGTGGGAAAGCTCTACAAATCTTCTGTGTTCAGTTTCCCTACCTATAAAAGGGAGATAATAACCGTACCTCTGCCAGGTGCTTGTTGTGAGGATTAAATACAGAGCATATGTAAATTTTTTTTGTATAGAAACTGACACATTGTAAGTCCCTAAAAAGTGTAACATGTTGTGATTGCTATTTTTCCAATCTAATATTTGATCTGTGACCTTATATTACAAGAAATAACTTATGGTCATTGTCTGGCTTTTCCTACGCCTGGTCATCCTCTGTTCCTGGAATACCATTTGAAACAAGGTAGATAAGTCTGTCTTGACCCCTTCCAGTGAAGATAGAGTTAGATATTTTAAGGTTGTGAATTGAAGCACGTATAAAGTGTCTGCTCAGCTGGTTGGATTTGAGTGGGGGGGGACCATGATGAGGCAGAAGAGGAAATATATTTGCAGAAGTTCAGTAGGACTAGATTATAAAACATACATGATCCTAGACTATTACAACTCATGGAAAGTTACAAAAGGAGGATGATATATAAGTGCAGGTATTTAAAGAAGTTTATTGTAGCTTTTTCTACAGTGTGGATTAGTATGAACATTTTCTGGCTGAGAGTGTAGAGGAGTGAGTGGATGGATGCAAGAAATTTTCAAAGATAGCTTTCACCATGTGTGAGATGATTTGGAAAGTAGAGTTTCACAATTTCAAATGCCTTTATTTGGTCTCACTTCTACATATTTAAATTTAATTAAAAAGGCAGTTTCAGCCTTGGAAAAATCAATATTCATCCCTTCATATATTCTCAGACGGCAACTGTAAAACAAAAAGGAAGAAATACATACAAAGGATATTGTAGAGGAAAAATCAGCATGATTTGATGGCTGGCTGTATAGGCAGAATTTAGATGTGGTATGTGTCAGCTATAATAGCAAAATTCCAAACTTGGCCTGGAAGATGATGAATTTGGAGGAAGAAGCATTAAAAGTATATTCACTTTAGGAGTCTTTGGTTTCTTCTTTCCTTCCAGTTTACCGCGTATGATATATACTCCAGCCAAGGTTTTTAATTGAAATAGCACCTTATCATAGTGAGCATCCCAAAGTAGAAACTATTTCTTTTTACTGAGTAGAATCTTCTCTAAACTAGACATATGGCCAGAATTTTTTTTTTTAATTTTTAAAATCTATGCAACTAATTTTAGTGTTAGCATCTTCTTTCATCTTTGTCAACCTCATATTTTTTCTTTTATAAGACAGTTTTACTGAGGCTTAACATTTGATGTCACTAAATGAAAGTGATACATGACTCATATCAAAATGGAAAAAACCAATCTCTGAACTCCATTTTAAATAAATAGAGCTTACAATCCCTTAGCAAGATGAATGAGCTTTTTTGCTTTATTGGCTTTTGTCAAAGTTGTAGATACAAACATGCATTGGCTGATGCAGCAGAAATTCTGCAGTTTAGTAGTTCTAAGATTATTATATTGCACTTGCTAAAATACACACACAACATCTAATATTCTTTTATGAAATTAAATAGGCCCTGTAATTTTCAATGAAATGCTAAAAGATGCACTTCTGTATGCAGATGCTCTTTCAGAATAATTTTACCTGGCTAAACATCCATGAAATAGTTTTATTCTCTCATAATTCCTTATTATGAAGATATCTCTTGTATAAATAGACACTACCTTTTCCCTACCTAAATCATTCAACAGCATTATAACTTGATATTTGCATCTGCAGTGAAAAATTTGGCTAGGTGAGTTAGATCATGCCGAATAGGTGTTTAAATGATGTTTACAAGAGAGGCATTTTATGTTTATAGTATAATGTTAAATGGAAAAGTGGAATACAAAATTGAATACACAGTGTAGTGATTTTAGAACATGGCTTCAAATTCTTTAATATTTTTGTCAGTAGGAGGGAAGGTCTAAGTACCTATCATCTTGAATCTGGATGACTTGTGACTGCTTCAATCAATAGAATGCGGAAGAAGTAATGTCATGTGACTTCTAAGACCAGGTCATAAAAGGCCATCCTCCTGAGCTGTCACGTCAGAAGTTAGACTACCCTGAGACTGCCACAATGGAGAAACCACATGAAGGCATTATGATTGACAGTCCAAGTTGAGTCCGGCCTGTGTCAAGACAGGTGAGTGAAGAAGCCATCTTGGAATTGGACTCTCCGGCCCAAGCTGTCTAGTCCTTTGTCATTTGAGGCTCCCTAGCCGAGGACCCAGACATAGTGGAACATGGAAAAGCTGACTCACTTATGCCCTTTCTGAATTTCTAAACAAAATCCTTTTGCACAATAAAATGGCAGTCTTATATGCTGCTGGTGTGCTGCAAACAGCCCACAACAGCTTTTGAGAAATGATTGTTACATTTTCAGGAACTCTGCAAAGAAATTGTGGAACAGCCATTTTAAAAAATTACAATTCAACAAATTATATTAAAAACAAAGCTAGTAAATACTCACTCATTACACCGTAATTATTTTATTGCTTCAAGGTAGAGATTTTGCCTTGAACTGTTTTCTGTAATTTCTACCAAATTTATCATATTTCTATTTAAGTAGTAACTTATCCCAGTTTTATGGTTATAATCTATTAAGTATTAAAAGAGAATTCCTGATTTTTACTCAATCATAATGAGATTTATAATAATTTGCCAATCCATCATCAAAAGATTAAACACTTGTAGGTATATGTACAGTGTTAGAATATGGAGAGAGGAATTAAGAGGTGGCAGATAGAGAAACATAGAGTGGGGTTTTTTTCTTCTTCTGAAGAGATCAGATCAAATGGCACTCTGTTGAATTAGTAATATCTGTTAGTATCCAGTGATTGTTGTAATGAGCACATGCCAAAGATTTTTTAGTAAAAAGTCTTCATATTGTACGTCAGTTACAGCCACTTAAAAATACATATATTTCTTGCAAATGACCCTATAGCCCTGATGAAAAATACTCTGCCAAACTAAACCCATGTGAAATCTAATTTCACTTGAGCTTCTTATGAAATTAATTTTAATGCCTAATCATACAGTCTTCACGCTGACAAAATCCATACTGAAGTTAATGAGACAGGTGTCTCCAAGGAATATCTGAAATTTTTCTTCTACTCAAACAGCAGTAGTTCGAAGATCTTGGTTTTAATACTTGCCCCTCCACCAACCTTGATAAGAAAATTTAAAAACCCTCAAATATGTTAAAACTAAATCTATATGAAAGATTAGGGGGAGATTTAAGGTTAGGTTTCCAACATTAAAAATAATTTCATGACAAAATTCATTAATTTTCTTTTATTTTTATAAATAAACTATCTTTAATTCAAATATTTTTGATCACATGTTTTTATCTGTTTCTCTCATCTCAAAAATGTTGAAGTCACACATCCAAATGGGGGACAAATTCAGTTTAAAAAATAACAGAATGGATTAAGATATTTAGTATAACTTTTTGACAAGTCATTAGGTAACTGACTTTAAATGCCAAGGGCAGTGATTTTATTATCTATTATCTGTGGAATTATAGGATCTCACCAAGATGTTTCAAAGATTATTCAAATTTAAGATGCATATTAGATTTTTAAGTATGTAAATATTTTATAAGCTTTAATTAAAAAAATACAAAGTGTCTTTACAAACATTGGACACATTCAATATTTCATTTTATTTTATTTTAGGCTTAGAATTAACCTTCTCATACTATGTCTGTATTTGCATTTAAACGTGGTAAAAATATTTTGTTAGTCTAAGATGCTTTTAAAAAATGAATAATTGTATGTATCAACTATGGTAAAAATGTTTGGGAGATGCTATATTACTGCCAGATAATAAACAAATGGGACTACATCACACTAAAGAGCTTCTGCAAGGCAAAGGTAACCATGAACAAAACAAAAAGATAACCCGCCAACTGGGAGAAAATATTCACAAATCATATATCTGACAAGGGGTTAATTTCCAAAATATATAAAGAACTCAGACAACTGAACAATGAAAAAACAAACAACTGATCAAAAAATGGGCAGAGGATATGAATAGACATTTTTCCAAGGAAGGTATACAGATGGCCAATAGGTACATGGAAAGATGTTCAACATCACTAATTATTAGGGAAATACAAATCAAAACTACAATGAGATATCACCCTACACCCGTTAGAATGGCTATAATTACCAAGACAAAAAATAACAAATGTTGTAGATGATGTGGGGAAAAGGGAACCCTCATACACTGCTGCTGGGAATGCAAAATGGTGTAGCCACTATGGAAAACAGTATGGAGATTTCTCAAAAATTTAAAAATAGAAATACCATATAATCCAGCTATCCCACTACTGGGCATTTATCCAAAGAACTTGAAATCAATTATCCAAAGAGATTTATGCACCCCTATGTTAACTGCAGCATTATTCACAATAGCCAAAACGTGGAAGCAAGCCAAGTGCCCAGCAACTGATGATTGGATAAAGAAGATGTGGTATATATATACACAAAGAAATATACTCAGCCATAAAAGAGAAAAAATCGTCCCATTTGCAACAACATGGATGGACATTGAGGGTATGATGTTAAGTGAAATAAGCCAGACAGAGAAGAACAAATACTGTTCATATGTGGTGATTTCACTCATATGTGGAATATAACCAATACATGGATAAAGAGAACAGATTAGTGGTTACCAGAGGGTAAGGGGGGTTGAGGGTGGGGTGAAAGGGGTAAAGGGATACATATATATGGTGACAGACAATAATTAGACTACTTGAGGTGACCATGATGAAGTCTACTCAGAAATTGATAAACAATAATGTACACCCAAAATTACACAATATTATAAACCATTATGATCTCAATAAAGTTACTGAAAAAAAAAGAAACAGAAAACTGATTAGTGGTTACCAGAGGGAAGGGGGTTGGGGGTGGGGGAAAGGGATAAAGAGGCACATGTGATAAAAATTAGACTGTTGGTGGTGAGCATGAGGCAGTCTATACAGAAACCAATAAGTAATAACGTACACCTGAAATTACACAATGTTATAAACTATTATGACCTCAATAAAATAACTGAAGAAAATAAATGAATGCACAACACAGGGATACTTAACTAGCAAAACAAAAAGATATGTCTGTTCAGTGCTTGTCATGGTTTGGCAGTTGTGCTTCTATCACACAATGGATGCTTAGAGCTTTTAAAATAATTTGAGGGTGCAAAGCATACTAGAGTTTGACTTTACATTTACGAAAGGGTTGTAAATTTGTGGCCTTTTATTTTTTAATATTTCAATTGTAAAATCATACTGCTGAAGAAATGACTAATCACAAAATAACAATCACCATCTGAACTCATATCAAACAAACTTGAATCAGAAACAAGATTAAAACAATATGTCAAAAACTCTCACAAAATGTCCAAAGGATTGTACTAGGCCTTAACATGCTTTTGTGCATGGTTTTGCAAAATAGTTCTATATTCCTACAAAATAAAGCATTTATCTTGAAATAAAACATGGTAAACTAGAAGATAAGATTTTTATATCTTCAACAAAAAATTATGGCTGAATGTGTCGTTGAAATCTTTCTCATAAAGAGAACTCCAGATTCAGATGGCTTCCCTGGTCAATCCTAACCAAGCTTAGGTAAGAAGTAACACTAATTCTATGTAAACTTCCAGAAAGTGAAGAGGAGAAAATAGTTCCCACCTCATTTTATCAGTCCCACATTGCCCTAATACAAAAGACAGAGACAGGTAAACTACATTCCAATATGAACATATGTGCAAAAATTAAGACAAACATTTTAGTAAACAGAATCCAAAAATATTTTTAAATGATAATACATTATAACCAAGTGAGATTTATCCCAAGAATGCAAACTCTATTTAACATTTCTAAATGTCCATCAACAGATAAATGGATAAAGAAATTGTGACATATACATACAATGGAATATCATTCAGCTTTAAAAATGAAGGAAACCCTGCCATGTGCAATAACATGGATGGATCTGGAGGACATTGTGCTAAGTGAAATAAGCCAGACACAGAAAGACAAATACTGTATGATCTTGCTTATATGTGGAATCTGAAATAGTCAAATTCATAGGAGCAGAGAGTAGAACGGTGGTTGCCAGTGGTTGGGGGAGGGGGAAATAGGGAGGTAATAGTCAAAGGGTATAAAGTTTATATACAAAGGTATATAGATAAATAAGTTCTGGAGATCTAATGTACAGCATAGTCTTCAGCTAACAATACTGTATTATAAAATATAATGTACAGTATTGTTCTATATATAATATATATCATGTACATATAATATATATGTAAAATTTGCTAAGAGGGCAGATCTTAGGTTAAGTGTTCTTACCACAAGAATAATAATAATAAAAAGGGGGTGGGAGAGAACTTTGGTAGGTGAGGGATATGGTTATGGCCTTGACAGTGGCGACAGTTTCATGGGTGTATATTTATCCCCAAATTCATCAAGTTGTATACATTAAATATGCACACCTTTGTACATGTCAATCATACCTCAATAAAGTGGTTTAAAAAAATAAAAGAAAATTAATCACTGTCATTCACCATATTAACAGAATAAAAATGAAAAATATGATCATATCAATAGATGCAAAATAAGAAATTTGAACAAAATCCCAGTCCAATTCCTGATAAAAACTCTTAGCAAACCAGGCATAAAAGAGAACATTCTCAACTTAATAAATAACATCTATGAAAAACGTACAGTTAGTGCCATACTTAATGATAAAAGACATAATACTTTTCCCCTAAGGTCAAATATAAGGCAAAGAAGTCTATTCTCACCACTTACCAAACTCAGTGCTAAAATATAAACTTCATTATAGAAGGAAATTTCTCAATTCTGTATCCTCAGTAATTAGAACAACCCCTGGTATATAGCAGTTAATTAATGTTCTTAAGCAAAAGAATATATAAATAAATATTATTGTTAGTTCAACGAATATAATAGATAGCAGATTGCTGCAAAATATGTAATTTGGAGAGTTATAAAAAATAAAGATTGAATTTATTTGAAATAATTATAATTCAATGTAGAGATATTTTAACTCTCTCCATGTGTCTGTTTCACATAATATATGTGTAATGATGAATAAGAAAGATTATGTTTTTAAAATATGTGATACATGAAAGCAGATAAATGTATGCTTAAATCATTTATTAACATACTATTTATCAAGCAAGCAGTGATATCTGATAGAAATAGAAATAAAAACTACAAAAAGAGTAGCTCACATTAAAGAGCTGTCACAATGTGGTCATGTCATCTGTGTTACATTGAGAAGCACTAGCTGTAAAAAAGATTCCAACTGCTTTCAGATGAGTTTTCCTTATTGCCACATTTATTTCAGTATTTAGACTTATGTGTAATCAAGTTGGTAATGTATTCTGGAATTTCTATTTTTTATTTTTACTGAAATATTGAGGCAAATCAAAGTTCTATAACTGATATTTCAGATAAAACAGTGAATTACCTTAATCTTTTGCAGGCAAAGCTGAATGTCTATCTTATTAAATATGGTTATAACAACATGCATGGCTCGCTGACACGTTTAGCTGACTAAATATGCCCAATTCAATATTCAAAGCTGTAAGTCACCACTCTCATGTAGCAGGTACAAATCTCAGCCCATGAATCCAGACGGGCAAGAAATGGAAGCATATTTTTCTATAACTTATATTAATGCTTGTAACAAACTTCCATGAATTTCAGGAGTTCTGACCACTTCCCCAAAATTTGCATTTAATTTTGGGGGAGAATTTTTAATATGAAACCATAATGGGGAAGGTGTGGACACATTCTGTTTTCAGATTCGTCTTCCTAGTCACACAGCGTCTTCTAGAATATTGCCACTCAGGTCATATCTGGGCCATCTTCTCTGTCTACAAGTCTACTGCTTCCCTAGGACTAGAATTTGAGGGAACTTTTACATAGGACACCTACAAGCCTTAAAGCACATGTGCAAACTGAAGCCCAGGTTCCTGGGTTTGAATCTCAGCCCCACTGCTCACTATCTGTGTAACCCTGGGCACCCTAATTAGCATGTGTGTGTCTCAGTTTCCCCCTTCGAAAAATGGAGAAAATAATATGGATTGAAATATTATTCTATTAAAGTGCTTAGAACAGTTCCTGGCTCATAGTAGTCTATGTACTATACAGCTAAGTATTATCATTGTTATATTAGCAGTATGAATTTGCAACAAAATGAGGATAGAGAGGAATCAGGAATATGGAGGCCAAAATATCATCTTTATTCTATGGCTTATATGTGGGGACAAATGGATTTCCTAATAATGAACCTCAGATAATCATAGGCTGCACTGGAAAACCATCACTCGCCGCTCTGCACGTTGGGCCTGCAAAACTTACAGCCTGGAAAAGTCTTGTAGAATATGGACTTCCTGGGAGCAGGAACAAGATGAGGGGATACACAATCAAGCTCCTCCTTCCTAATTTACAAATGAAATTAAGTCGCTCCTTCCCTGCAGGAGAATAGGAGCCTTAGACTAGCAACATGGAGCCCGTGACAGGAAACACTGGCCATGAGGAATGAAAAGCATTGCTCTCTCCAACAATTACTTTCAGTTGCCCAAATGTTCCATGCTTTTTCATGTTCTAACCCTTGCTATGCTGTCCCTGGAAAAGAGAGGTTCTGAAAATATTATGCTGGATGAACAAATGTTTGAATATGGAAAATATCTAGAGCGATTGGCGATTCTGAATTTAAAAAAACAACTCTAGCAGTTTGTTTTTTTGCTTCTGCCCATTAATATACAAACTGATATTCAAACAAAGATAAACAGTGGCTTAAAAAAAAAAACAAGCATTGCTCTCTCTACCACTGTGTTGAGTGACTGACTTAAGACAGCCCATGCATGTGTTTCTTTTAATCCCATATCATGTCAGATTCCCTAGGATATTTTGGATACAGTAGTCTCCCGTTACCCGTGGTTTTGCTTTCTGAGGTTTCAATTACCCTTGGTCATCCACAGTCTGAAAATAACGCTACCTCACAATGCCTACGACATTCATCTCACTTCATCTCATCGCACAGGCTTTGTATCATCTCCCATCATCACAAGAAGAAGGGTGAGTACAGTACAATAAGCTATTTTGAGAGACAGACACAATATTCACGTAAATTTTATTACAGTATAGTGTTATAATTGTTCTATTTTATTATTATTGTTGTTAATCTCTTACTTTGCCTAATTTATAAATTAAATTTTGTCATAGGTATGTATGTATAGGGAAAAAACACACGGTATATAGAGTTCAGTACTATCCATGGTTTCAGGCATCCCCTGTGGGTCTTGGAACGTATCCCCCAAGGATAAGGGGGGACTACTGTACTGTGTTTTTTCCAGTCCTCCTCTGCTCTCAGATCCCCCAACTGTCTCAGTGTTCTATGATTCCCCACCCCAGGAATGTGCTGCAAATGAGGGAAGGGGAAGGGAGAACTGTCCAGATTTCTGCTTTCCTCTGAATCTCCCCATGCTTTCATCTAGCGATTCTTAAACTATTCTGGGGGAGAAGTATAGAGACTTTCATCATTCTCCCAATTATCTTCTTTATAACACAAGGAGTCCAACCACTATAAAGCTCAAAAAGTAAGATTTGACTTCTGGGAAAATGGATTCTAAGTACCTTAGCTGGCAAAAAGGTGGGACAAGGGTTGATAAGAGATTACAGGAAAATAATTGTTACTGTTTCAAAATACTGTCCACCACACACATGTATCATTACACAATTGTGATGAAATGGAATCTTCTGGTTAGTAAGCAACATGCAAGACAAAAGTGTGACATTTGAAATGGGGGTTAAAAAATGCAATTCTTAAAAACCCTCCTTATATTAAAAATATTTGAGAATAATTTTTCACTAAAAAATCAAAATTTAAACTGGCAGAGGAAGCTGTTCATTGATGCTCTTCAATTTAAAAACTTACCAATTAAAAAATCTGTGTGGTCAGGAAATTTTTGTTCCAAAGTTGAATCCTTTTTCAAGAATTCAAATTAGTTGATTTAAAAATATCCTGTCTTTACAAGACAAGCTGCTTTAAAACAAGAGGTAAAAGCTCTGAATACCTGCAGCTGTTTCTGCATGAATCAATCATTTTTTATATTACAGCTATTTTAGGTAAAGTGAGATAGAAATTGAAGGGGATTCTGCAGATCCTCTTAGAGATTAAAGAACATATTCATTTTATAATGTAACACATGGTACCAGTCGTATAATGGATAAAACACCATGTTTTGTAAATAAGTTAAAACATGTTGCCATTTGGACTACTCAAGGATCAAATAAAAACAGCAGCAATAAAAATAACTAACATGTTTAAACTTTATTTCCTTTGTACCAGATACTAATCAAAGTGCTACGTATACTAATTGACGTAATTCTTGCAACAAGGTACTATTTTATTTTATGTATTTCCTTTGTGAGGAAGATTAGCCCTGAGCTAACAGCTGTGCCCATCTTCCTCTGTTTTATGTGGAACGCCACCACAGCATGAATTGACAAGTGATGTGTTGCTCCGCGCCCGGGATCCAAACCTGCGAACCCCAGGCCTCCAAAGGGGAGTGTGCGAACTTAACCACTACACCACCGGGCCAGCCTCACAAGGTACTATTTTAAATTCTATTTTACAGAAGAGTAAATACAGCAGAGAATAGTTAGTTTTTCTTAAGTCACACACTTAGTAGGTGGTGGACCTAGGATTTGTGACAGACAGTCCAGATCCAAAATCTATGCTGCTTAACATTCTAATAAATACTGTATCTTATTGAAACATTCTTTTGTGCAGAATTACAGCACTTTCAGAATATATTCCCTAGCAAAAAATAAAAACAGAAAAATTATCAATAGCTCTTTTAAGGGGTTTATGGTTTCATAGAACCTTTTAAAAATATTTTTGCAGATTTTGTTAACAGTAAACTATGTATACTAAGCTCAAACATTAGAGATATTATTCCATAATATGGTTGAATCTTTTTTATCCATGTACTTTTCACACTTCAATTTATAAAATATGAATAGATATTCTTGGGAAAATAAGTTTGAAAATGAACTCTAAGAAATTTTTGGCCACTTCTAGTAGCTTTCTTTTCAAACTCTCACAAAATAAATATTTATTCTAGAAAAAAGTACTTCAAAAAAAATCACAATTAGGGATAGCTACAGTTCTAGATATTCCAAGTGGAAAGTAACATTTTCCAAGTCACTAAATTCACCCATTTTTGGTATGTCTTTATCACCCTATTAGGGTGAGTGTATTTCCTATTGCTGCTATAGCAAATTACCACAAATTTAGTAGCTTAAAACAACCCAAATTTATTCTTTTACAGCTCCAGAGGTCAGAAGTCAAAATTCAAGCTGTCCACAGAGC